CTTTTTTCTTTTTTCTTTTTCTTTTTTCTTTTTTCTTTTTCCTTTTTTCTGTTTTCTCCCTTCTTTCTTTCTTTTTTTTTTCTTCTCATTTTTTCCTTTCCCCCTTTTTTTTGTCTTCTTCCGTCTGGTTATCTTTCGTCTTTTGTTCCTTTTTTGACGCCCCCCCAGTTCGTCGTTTTCTGAGGAAAATTATGTGACGGGCCAGGGGCTAGCGCTAATGTTGTTGCCTCCTTTTTTGCCCCCCTTTCCCCCCTTTTTTTCCCGATTCTTTTTTTGTCTTGTTCGCTCTCTTCCTTTTTTGACGCCTCCGCATTTCCCCCGCACTTCTTCATTTCGTAGTTTTCCGAGGAGTATGATGTGACGGGTTTCAGACCAAGAGGCAGGCGCTAGCTTAGGATTCCTCTGAACCAGGCGACTAAGTACGGCTGCATTCAAATTCTAACTCAGATCCCGAGGATACTGCAGCCAGACACTTCTAGCATTTCAGACTGGGCGCCAGCAGTGAAACTTCAGGACCGATCGGACCAGCGGATCGAGCGGTACTTAAGCGGGATGGCTTGGTTAGAAAGGGTACCGCCAAGCAGTTTGCACAAGGCCATCCGGAGCAGTCGATGACCGGTTTTCTGTCGAGGCGCCTGACCGAGGATTTCGCATCGGGTTTTCTGCGAAGACTGCCTCGACAATTTTCTGTACCGAGTGGCAGTGGGACGAGCGAGGACTTCATCGGCACTCAGGAAGGGGTATTGTAGCCGCATCACCATGAAGCCCACTGGACAGGACCCGCTAGCGCTCGTTGCTCTGCTCTGCGCTATCGCCTTGTGTCTGGCGCTCGTGCCCAATGTCCTTATCGGTGCGCTGCTATGTTGGGCCTGTAGGACTGAGTGCATGATGCTCGCAAGCTCGCGCCGCTTCTCGGCTCTCATCTACGCCACGACTTTCTTCTTCGCTGCCCTCAGCGCGGTTTGCACGATAGCGCGCATCGTGGCAGCGCTCCTCTTGCACGACCTGCTGGCGTAACCCGCCATCCGCGCAGGCTTCTCTCGCATCCCCTTTCTCTCCAGCGACTGTGCTCTCGCTGTGTATCTCCCTCTCCCTCTATCTCTCTCGCATGCACACGCACACGCACACGCACCCCCCCCCGCTCTCTCTCCTCTCCCCTCCCCCCCTTCCCCTCCCCCCCTACCCACACTCCTTACACGCCATAAGGGCAGCAGCAGCCATCCACGAGTAATGGCGACCAGCGACTACGGTGAAAGGTCAACCATGGAGATCGCAGCTTGCGTCTTCCTTGCCTACCTAGCGCTCCTCGCTCTCCTCGCAGTCCTCTTCTTCCTTACCTTCCTCCCTAATGCCAGCTTGCAACCCCCCGCCCCCCCACCCCCGCGGCATTCGGAGCACCTATTATGCAGTCAGCAGGCGGAGCGCGGCCCCCCAGTTCTTCCTCGTGGTGATCAATCTTCCTGTCTCACATGCGGTCCTCGGCCCCCGGTTCCTTCGCAGTGCAAGACGTTTGAGCCCCCCTCTTCCCCCCCCACCCCTTCCCTCCAACCCCCCTGTAACCTTCCCTCTTCTTCGTCTCAACCTTCCGACAACAAAGGAAGGGCTCCCCTCTGATGAAGCCGCCAGTGGCAGGCGACAGAAAGGCCTCAGGGATGTGCCACCCCTCCTGTGGATCTGCTGAGTTGTCCAGTGCATGTCAATGCGGAATCGGGACACTTAAATGGCATGGTGCAGGTTTCTCGTTTTCTTTTCCTTGTCAGTTCCTTCCTTTCCCCCTTTTTTTCTCCCCCCTTTTTCTCCCTTTGTTCTGAGCTTTATGCGTGGTATAAATCGAGCGTGTCATCGTTTGCTTTTTTACCTGTGGTTTGGTCTCTCTTTTTTTTTCGGTTCTTGTTTACCTCACGCATTCTTTCTCTCTGTTTTTTCGTTTTTTTCAAAAAAATAAATTCAAATGATATGCGTTCAGGCTTTCAGTCGTCGGCGCTCCGATTGTCGGATACACAGGAATGAAAGACTGACTGCATACCGATCTATAGAAACGTTGTGAGTAATATCTTAAAGCTGATAGGCTTCCCTTCTTTCTCATTACCCCTCTGTTTTTCCGAGATATGCGATCTTTCCTTCAGCCACCTGCGCTTAGATTATTTATTTGTGAGCGCAGGAGTGAAAGACGGGTCGCCTCTTGATTACTCGGTTTCTTTCCGCCTCTTCCGTTCCCTTTTACGATCGGGTTCCCCTGCCTTCCCCTTACCAATAGCTTAGGATTGAAAAGCATATGTGCATCTCAATCTCCTCGTTTTTTCCCCCCTCTTTTTAGTAAAAGAAGAGCGTTGTTCTTGTCTACAATGGATTGCATGACCTTGTGGATGTGACACCCCTTCCCTTCTAACTATTTACCTGGTAACAAGCTCTGCGTCCCTTTCAGAGTTCTCGCCTTCGCCGAACCCTTCCTCGTACCCCTTTGTGTTTTGCTAGACCCCTGGCTATCAAGCGGCATAGCAGTCTGCTTCCATGAATGTTCCCCCCCCCCCCTTTGGCGCAGCAGCTATCCAACTTTGCAAAGGGTTTCTATAGGATCAGCAACCGGTCTCTCACTCTGTTGCTCCCCGGCCTGCCGAAAGCCTTCGATCCTAGAGCATCGTGAATAAGAGACGGGTTGCAGTCCTCATAAACCGTCCTTCTTCAACCCTATAGGGCGCAGTCTCGTACTGGTTACCCTTTCTTTTAAATGCAGTTCCCCTCATTTTCGTGCTCAAATGCTTATGATGTACTTCCAACCGAACCCTCCCCCCCATCCCCCTCTGCTATCTCGGAAAGAAACGAACATGGAATATCATGTAATTATCCCCCTCATCCCCCTGTTTTTTCACCTATGATCGATTTACCAGGTGCACCGCCTCGTAATGCAAGTTTTTACTAACCCTCCTCCGCCTTCCAGTTCTTACCGCCTCTCCCATTCTCGCACATAAGCTTTCCCTGTTATCGCCCGTAACTACGCACGAGATGAGCACTAGCCTTGCCACAAGTTGATGGATGGATTACCGCGCAACAGTAGTTCACAATGCCTGCACGAGCTTCGGGGATTAAGGTGCGCCGATGATTAGTCATCGGAGTAATATGCGAGGTGCAGTAAAATCACGTACCTTCGCGTACCATAGAGACAAACACACACACACACACACACACACACACACACACACACACACACACACACGCACACACACACGCACACACACACACGCACACACACGCGTGCGCGCGGAGAAGGACAGACATTGCAAATCGTCAGGTCGCCTTCGGCAAGACGCACGAGAGAGAGAGAGAGAGAGAGAGAGAGAGAGAGAGAGAGAGAGAGAGGCTGCAGGGTCCTCCTTTTTGCTGCTGGTGGTGGTCGTCTTCAAGGTGCTTCATCAGCCTGCCAGTCGTCAGCAAGCTTCTCTGTCAGGTCAGTCCTCTCTCTCTCTCTCTCTCTCTCTCTCTCTCTCTCTCTCTCTCTCTCTCTCTTTCTCTCTCTGATATCGTTGCTTCTGACGTAATGGCTCCATTCGGTGCTTTGGGCATGGCTCCCCTGCTTTGCAAATGTACGAAATGAGACTGAATCATCCGCTTGAAAATGGAAAGATGCATTGCCATCTCTCTCTCTCTC